TTGTGCAAGTACTTGTGCTGTACTACAAGAGAAACGTCAGTGAAAACACAAAAACATTTTGCTGGAATTAAATATTTCTGCTTTTGCTCTTTATGACCTTGGCTTCATAAAGCTTCTTTTATGAGACTAATGAGCACTTGAATGCACACGCTCTGCCCTTTGATTCATAAAACAGAGCAGTGATATGTGAACGTCTGATGATTGATTCATAAACCGCTTCATAACATTGCCAAAAATTCTAAATGATCACAACCATAATTTTTAATAACGAGAGGGGTACATTTAAATAAGGAAATGCTTATGTTTTTGAAGGGAAAACAGTCCAAGGGCAGCTACGACAGGGATAGCAAAGTTTTGCTGGGGCAGGGAAACAATCTCTGGAGCATCCAGCAACACAAACATCTAGTCACTGAAATAGGGGTCACTTCCCTGGGTTAACAAACTTGCACATCCCCTATCTGAATGGATCCTCGGCTCTTAAAGCTCTGTCCAAAGAGCCTGGGGACAGGCAGGAAGGACGATAAGGGGTAATTCACATAGAAGAACTATATTCTGTCTTATTTCAAGAAGCAAACTGTCCTAGATTCAGGTTATTTGACCTTTTAACCCAACAGTGTTGCTGCACCAGTCATAGCAGACTATCATTAGATGGAAACAGTGGCCTTTAAAATGTTTTAAAAGCATCTGCTCAGCAGTAAGAGAATTTGAGCCAGTCTGCTTGTTGCTTTAAAATGGTTGAAAAGACGTTTGATCGGGATATGCTATAGGCATTTAAAAGCATCTTTTTGAACAGCGTCAGTCACTGAACTTTAAGTAACTTACTATGAAATTTCACGTCTGAGCCAAGCATTTCCACTGGGATGTGTTGGAAGCCCTGTTCACTTTCATTCACTCCAGTAAAATAGAAAGAAATGGGTTTGGTATAACCTCAGTGCAAGGACAGATTCAGTTCTGCACAGCACATGCACCTGGGAATGGATGGACATACAGCCTTCTTTTAAATGGGTGTACAGTCACCCTCAAGTCATGCTAAACCTGTATGTACTTTGTACATATTCCCCTATGGGACGCAAAAGATGATATTTTGAAGAACAACATGGGTCTAAATAAGGTTGAACCACATTGGGAAAAAAACAACAACAATATCTTCTTTTTGTGTTTCACAGAAGAAAGCAAGTCATACAAATGAGGGTGAGTAAATAACCGAATTTTAATTTTTAAGTAAACAATCCCTTTAAGATAAAGAAATGACCTTATGCGTTGTCAGGTTTAAGCATAATCTTGTGCATGTAAACATACTCAAGCTGCTAATCAGAAATCTGATTTAAAAAAAAAAAAATTCAGAAACAATAAGTCACAGTTCCCGACAGGCATCATAGAAGGTCAAACTGCATTTTTTTTGTCTTAACATGTAAATCACTTCTTATCATCATAAATTCATTCTGCAAACAAACATGGCTTAATTTCTTTCTCTTGTGGTTTATTTATTTATTTATTATTTTTATTTTAATTTAATTTTTTTAGCGAGTGTTGCTTGCAACTGAAAAATTACTGACAGGATATAGAGAAATGTAAATAATTAAACATGTCCTTCAGAAGACTTCTGAGAAACTTTTACAAAAGAAAAGAAGGAAGATGAAATGGAAATTTCCTCATTCCGCATTTTCCTCAGCAGTAATAGATTTTCATTGTGCTGTATTTTCTTACAGGGTCTCTGGTGTTTTATATAAATCCACTGCTTTAAAACATGTGGCACTGCATATAGCATTATTTCAGCATCCAATAAATGCATGCTCCTCAGAGCATGGTGCAGGAGAAATCAATTTTAAGATATGAAGATCGGGTCTCTAATATAGTCTGGCCATAGTGAAATAACATTTTACTATGCTGCTTTACAATGCTCAAGTAATTTCAATTATGTGTGTGTTGTATAAATTAAAATCACACACATACACAAACAAAGGAGATTTGTAATGGACTTAGAACAATAAAAACACATCATTAGGCATTATTCCAAACCATGATTAATTATAGTTCACACAGCTTACATTACCTGCTGCAATCAAATCAAATTTCCAGGTTTCAAATAATAAATTGCCCATGTTCATAACTCATGTTGGCAGGTGAGAGGCGTAGAGACAGTGGCGGAGCTAGAGTTTTATACATGGGGTGGCCAGGGGGTGAAGGCTAATTCAGGGGGTCTATAGATCGTGACAGAAAATCAGTGTATAGCTCCAACCAGGCATAAAAAAGCATGGATAAATCCTACGATTGCTGATTACTTCACATTACCCTACATCAGCTGTACATTCCCATACCGTAACTTATTTATCTTATTTCTATCATCTGATTAACCAGCGGTTGGAGCAAAATATCTAACATTAATTTACACAGTGAAATTGTTTTAATGTTGTTCAGGAAACCTAAAACTTCAACTTATTTCAAACAGGGCTGCCAACTTTTGAGTTCAGCCTGGAAAATTAAGTACACGTTATTTTTTTCTAAACTAAACTATAGCCTACAGGGATCTCTATTGTTAAGGTTAAAAGTAAGAACTGATTTGTATAATTTTTATTATAACGTTATATATCTATACATTTTTATTTATTATAATAAATATACTTTTTTTTTTAATTCTCCTCTCTAGTGTAAATTTTTCTCACTAGTTTATGGACACTGAATGGATTTTCTGAGGTTATGTGACAATGTTTTCAAGCTGCTGTCTTTCCGTGGTTGAAACACTCATTGAGTGATTACACGAGACACTATACATTCAGTAAGTTGTAGTGTATCTTTCAGCATTCCCTTGGATGTTCATTCATGTTTATTTCATGCTAATTAGAATGCACTCCTGCTTCGCTTGAACTGAGGTAAAGCGGGAGAGCACGTGAACCGTCACGCCGCTAAAGAGCTCCAAAACTGTATTTATCATTTTAAATTCTTAATAAAACTAACAGAATTTGAATGCTGAGACTTTGTTTCCTATTATCAAAAGTAACCTGGTCTGCCTTGTCTGTCAGCGCATTGTCTCTGTCCTCTTTACTCTGCGATGTTTTTCACTCCGTAAGAAAATCCGTAAGCCAGTGCCCCCCTGCCAACAAGCTTGGCCCCCCTAAATTTGGAATCATATCACACCAAACAATTTTGGGTGAAATGCGCAGTTTGTCCTGTAAACTATGCATATAAAAAAAGAAAAACATCACCAGCAGCTAAATTAAAATCTGCGTTTTATTGTTTGTAATGTTATTTGTTGTGGAAATCATTAAAATTTTCTGTGATGGTTTTATTTTTTTTCAGTAGAGACATAAGCCAGTATCTGTTTGTGGCTGCTGTGTGTCATATGACATATTTTAGTTGACATTGTTATAGATTACATCTAGATTGCAGCGATACATGACATGGTGAAAAATTACTGAATGAATAATAGGCTACTTAAAGTAGTTTAAGATGAATTTTAAAATTGTGCCCCCTAAAAGCACAAGTGGCCCCTGTCTGGCCCCCCCAGTTACTGTGGTCTAGAACCGCCCCTGCTGGAAGATACACCAGACGAGATGAAGCGCGATACGGCACACCAGATGCGTCGCGTCCTTGAGGTCGAGGCTAAAATAAATGCTTCTTTCAGTGTGATTAAACAAAGAAAATTAAATAGTAGCATATTCAATTTTGGGGTGGCACCCGGGGTGGCCAATCAGATGTCAGCGTAGAGAAGCTGTAGAGAGTGAATATTTATTGAAATGTTTTGCAGCTCTCCTTGTGTCTTGCTTTTTGGATATCATTTTTTATATTAAACAGACTGTTTCTGTTATTATTTTCCATTGGTGTGATGCAAAACCATCCGTGTGACATTGCAAAATAATGACCAAAGCCTGTTTATGACCATTTTTAAATAAGGAGGGGCCTTAATGGAATGCTACAAGCAGTCAAAAGAATCGTGTTCTACTTAGAAAATTGTGTTTGAAATTCATTAGCTACAGAGAAGGTGTCAACATCATGCATATTATAAAAATAATCCACACCTCTCCTAAATAGTATACTTAATAAAGGGCTTAATGTCACTTCATTGTGATGTTTTCTCTAGAAAAAAGAACACTCCCCTTTTGTTTTTAAAGAATGAGTCACCAATCGTGACAACTTATTGTTTATTCTAGGACAATAAATGTTGTCAATTCATCAATAGAAAGTTCAAAAGAAGTTGGAACAGCATTTATTTAAAACAGAAATCTTTTGGGACATTATAAATGTCACCACTTTTGATCAATTTAATGCCTCCTTGCTGAATAAAAGTATTAATTCCTTTTTAAAAAAAATCTACCTGACCTCAAACTTGTGAATAGTAGTGTGCACTGTATATTTGGTCGATACTACATAAAAACCTTGGGCTCAGCCAACAGCATTAGCTTGGGACTAGCTTAGGTTGGCTGGTTAGCATGGTTAGTAGCCCCTGCTGAAAAAAAATACATCACCTGGCTGCAAAGAGCATCTGTCTCCACTGACAATCGTTCAAAACTAGCTGTGAATTCTCATAAAATACCATTTTAATAATATACATCAATAAATATTAATAAATACTTCATAAATATTAAAACCGACTTCTATTTTTCCCTGTCTGCTGTTTTTCCACATCTCATGAGGGTTTGATAGAGATGGGTCTGAGATCGTCTATGTTCTTGGCATCATTAGTAGCGTTATCTACCAGCATGGGCTAACGGGTCCATGCTAAGCAGCCTGACCCTGAACCCTTGGTGATGCCATTTACGGCTCAGATGATTGGCCTGCTGAACTGACTGCCCGTTAGCGAAGATGGCAGCATGCAGTTTGCAAACTGCCAGAGATGAATGGGAATGCTAACGCATAGCTCTCTCCAAGTATTACACACTCTCCTGGGCGGGACTACCTCTTTACATTTCACTATTAGTCACCTATATGGTGTCATTTTTATACCATCTAAGATCATGACATCAATACGGGTGCAAGCAGATTCAAATTTAAATTATGCCTTTATTAAAAATGGTATTATAGTATTGTCTTGTCTCTCTTGATCTTCCTCCTATTGTTCTCGGTGTCTGAATGTACCATACAAGCACAATATGAGATTGATCAAACAGTCAGTGTGAAAGAAGCTGTCTCTTACTACAGGATCAATGCGATAGAGAAAGTGAAGTGTGGCGTCCCGGCTCTCCATTTGCAGATAATGCACGCAGCCGAACACTGCAGTTAGTGGCAGGGGGGAGGAGCGGAGCTGCTATGGCGCTCTGAGACAAATGGGCTCATCAGACAGCTCTCTCTGTAGCCCAGAGTCACATGCTGCATTCCAATTACCACTGGCACCACACACTCACACACAGCATCTGGACGAGATGGAGGGCTGCAGAGACAAGTGGTTTGCACTTGATTGACGTCAGGCTCACAAGGACAAGTGGACCAGAGGGCTTCATTGCATTTTTCACAGTTGTGCTATGTGCTAGTCTGTCTTGCCGCATGTTGTTTGTGGTAGCCTCAGCATGAAATGTCTTTGGGAAGTCAGTTCCTTCAGGAAAACAAGAACACATGACTAGAAACACATGGATAAAAAGACTGGTTCAATTCATGAATTGCAATTTGAAATGACCACATACCACAGGAAGCTGAACTGGAATTTGATTAATAGTCAGCATATCTGTTAAATGTTTGGAGTCTTTTTTTTATGTTTTTGAGTCTCACCGAGGCTGCATTTATTTGATAAAAATATAGTAAAAACAGTAATATTTTGAAATATTTAAAATAACTGTTTTCTATTTTGATATATTTTAAAATAAGCTGAATTTTCAGCAGTCTTCAGTGTCACATGATCCTTCAGAAATCATTCTAATATGCTGCTTTGCTGCTCAAGAAACAACCATGCTGCTTAATTTTTGTAGAAACTGTGATTCTTTTTTTCCAAGATTCTTTTATAAATAGAAAGCTCAAAAGAACAGCATTTGTTTGAAATAGAAATGTTTTGTAACAATGTATAAAAAAACATTTACAGTAAATTTTGATCAATTCAATGCATTCTTGGTGAAATATTAATTTCTTTCAAAAAAGAATATACATCTATTTATTTGTTTGTTCATTCATTCATTCATTCATTCACCCGTTCATTCATGACCACAGACTGTTGAACAGTAGTTTATCTATATATACTCAATACTTAAAAAAAAAATCTTAAACAAGCCTTTGTCAAGCCTTTGACAAACTTTGCTTTCCTAGATAAAAATTACAGTTACAGCCCTGAATAAGATGGCAGCAGATGACAGCTACAGACTGAGAAGAACTATATAATGATTAATCAAAGCAAAAACACTATTAGTGGACAAGTAGAATAGAATAATAATAACAGAATTTGAGAACATACACATAAGACTGAATGGAGAAAAAAAGAAAGACTGAATTCAAATGACGTCAGAATAAAATGATTTCTGACATCTTGGTTGACCTGAGAGCATCAAAATATTCACACAGTGTTTCTCTATAGAATTGCAACATTGACTAGTTCAATTATATATGTATATATTTTAGAGAATCTCAAGGACACGGTTTTAATTGCAAATTGAGGTCGCTAGGTGTGAAACACGACATTGAACCGCTTAGATGCTGTTCTCTGGTCTCAAGAGGATATAGCAATGTTAAGAGATTAATACATGAAATGCCACATTCTCTGCGGAAAACACGTCAAGCTTGTTGCCTTGCTCATTGCTCTGCAGTTTCACAGTGGAAAAAACAACATCTAATTGTTATTCTGCTCGGACAATCAAAGGAAAGACACGCACAAGTCCAAACAATTATTCAACATTGAGTACGCCAAAGTATTTTCAATGCATTAATTTCAATTCCCTGTTCCTACATGAACACAAAAAACTTTCAACAGTTTACAGTAGTTTATCTATATATACTTAATACTTAAAAAAAAAATCTTTAACAAGCCTTTGTCAAGCCTTTGACAAACTTTGCTTTCCTAGATAAAAATTACAGTTACAGCCCTGAATAAGATGGCAGCAGATGACAGCTACAGACTGAGAAGAACTATATAATGATTAATCAAAGCAAAAACACTATTAGTGGACAAGTAGAATAGAATAATAATAACAGAATTTGAGAACATACACATAAGACTGAATGGAGAAAAAAAGAAAGACTGAATTCAAATGACGTCAGAATAAAATGATTTCTGACATCTTGGTTGACCTGAGAGCATCAAAATATTCACACAGTGTTTCTCTATAGAATTGCAACATTGACTAGTTCAATTATATATGTATATATTTTAGAGAATCTCAAGGACACGGTTTTAATTGCAAATTGAGGTCGCTAGGTGTGAAACACGACATTGAACCGCTTAGATGCTGTTCTCTGGTCTCAAGAGGATATAGCAATGTTAAGAGATTAATACATGAAATGCCAGATTCTCTGCGGAAAACACGTCAAGCTTGTTGCCTTGCTCATTGCTCTGCAGTTTCACAGTGGAAAAAACAACATCTAATTGTTATTCTGCTCGGACAATCAAAGGAAAGACACGCACAAGTCCAAACAATTATTCAACATTGAGTACGCCAAAGTATTTTCAATGCATTAATTTCAATTCCCTGTTCCTACATGAACACAAAAAACTTTCAACAGTTTAGATTACATGCCTGGGGGAATTTAATTTACAGCACTGCACATCAAAGTTATGCAAGGGGGAATTACTAAGGAAGCTCTGCCTTTAGAAACCTGAAATAAGTCATAATCATTAAAATCGGTCTTTTCCTCTGAATTTCAGTTAATTGGGCCTTGAGGACTCACTGTTTTTCACAGCGAATCGTTGAGAGTGTAATGCGTGTCACTTTTTTTATGCACTAGAGATCGAGAGAGATGAAACACACTGACACTTTGAAACCCCTCTAATCCAAGCACAATGATAATGACCTGAACTGCACAAGGTCAAATTGAACTCAAGATTGAATTGGTTACAGTGAACAACTGATGCCCTTCTTCAGCAATAGCTGAAGACATTTAGCAAGGACATTTCTACCATCTCCCCTCAGGAACCCAAAGATGAGATGTCACTTATTTGTACACTGCCATTGAAGTGTTTGGGGTCAGAAAGAAATTGATACTTTCACCAAGGACACATTTTAAAAATACACTTAAATAGAAAAAGGTTATTCTAATTTGTGTTAATACTTCACATTAGCAGTGGCGGCTCGTGGGTTTTAAAATAGAGGAGGCACACTAATTGTATTGGTCTGGGGATCCCTGCCGATTATTATTATTATTATTATTATTAGCTTAACCACTTTAAAATGGCTTTTTGGTTGCTTTTAGTCAGAACATGTAAAGAAAACGACATACATACAGCAAGATAATATAATTTCACTTACCTGGCCTATCACTTGAAGCAAACATCCATCCCTTCTTAAACGTCTGTGTTAAAAGAGAGCTGCCTGTTGCACCATTTAATTAAACCGACTGCTGTAGCCTAGATCCAGATTAGGCGTGTTCTCCCTTTATTTTAAATTTGTATATATACTGTTTGAATGACAGCTTGGTAAATCTGTTGGCGATCAAATATTCAATATCGCTACTCATAAGTACAATTGGTATATTATCAGCGCAGCGGGAGACGTTCAAACTAATAGCACGTCATTTACGTCTCTATGATGATTGGTTGATATCAGAAAGGAGGCTAGCCTCCCCTGTGAGGTTTCTTTTCTCAACACTCCTCAGCGCTGAAATTGAACACTCCATGGTGATTGGCTAATTTTTTTTTTTTTACCAACGGAGGCACAAGAGCTCAGCTCTCCCCCGGCCTCCCCCCTCCCTTCTCTATCACCTAGCGGTTGTAATTACATCAGCAGATTCGGCACATTCGCAATAGAAAAGCGGCACTTTCCAACTTAAGTAACATGTTATGGTATTACAGCAGTGAAATTACAAACAAAAAATACACACTCTGAGACATAAACTGAAATGAATTGTGAATTTTATTAACATTAAATTGTTTAATGTTTTTCACCTCACAATTTTGGGGAAGCTGTGCCTCCCCCAACGAGCCGCCACTGCACATTAGTACTGTTTTTACTGTATTTTTGATTAAGTAAATGCAGACTTGGTAAACATAAAAGAGACTTCTTTCAAAAACATGTATAAAAAGATAAATCTTACAGATTTTTCTTCTAGTGATTGGTGCACATCAAAGAGCTCTAAAAGTCTTGGGCTTCTTTCAAGAAAATCAGATTGCATTAATTAACAAAAGGGTCATTTTATTAGATTATTGTAAATTATTAAAAAGTAAATAATATATGTTAAAAATATATATTTAAAAAACAATGCTACTTTTCCTCTAAATACACTCACGTGAATCGGTACAAAAATCAACCTAATTAAGCCAGTAAACCATTCTTTAGAAGATCCAACAATAACTGTTATGTACTCTCAGAAAAAAAAGGTATAAGAGCTGTCACTGGTAATTGGTACCTTATCAAATGGTACACTTTTCATTACCCTTAAAGTGTACATATTAGTACAGTTTGAAAGGGTACCACCACAGTGACTGCTTTTGTACCTTTTTTCTGAGAGAAACTACAGCTGTCCCATCACCTGTCAACTTCTTGTTTCCAACCCTAAACAATCATCGTCAACATTTTCAGAGGATGGAAAGAATCCTATTTGAAACTAGAGCAAATGAACAGGTGATTCTGACTGGGGCTGAAAGGGTTAAGGCAGACAGCCTACTATTAAAGCATATTAATAAAAGTACATGACTTCAAAGATGCGCAGTGTCTTAGTCACAAGGAACGCACCATGGAAGATTGAGTACGCAATGTGGACGTTAAAACCAAAGAAGCACGACCGACATCTTTATAAGCTTTTCTTCATTATCATTCAGTGTTTACACAGTGCTGAGTGTTTCTCTTATAGGCTAATTCTTTGATAGAAAAACAGACTAATGGCACAAAGTGTAAAGAGTGTGATGAGGCATTTAGACTCCACTGGTGTGAATTGGCTTTCTGTGCCCACAGCAAACTCACTCTCATTCACTGCCGTCCAGGAACATATAGGCCACCCATTGGCTGCCTGCGATCTCCACGTAATAACACTATTGAGTACACAGTGTTCTCTGTATAATGAAACAAATCTGCACTAGGAGTTAACAACCTGTCCAAAAGAACAGAAATCCCTGTGGGACCTCTGTGCCTGTCGGGGGTCTTGATCTTTAAGTAACTAACTCCCATGCAGTAGCGTACGGGACACCCCCGCAGCCCCCGTGGTGCGTGGGGGCCCCGGCCTTTTGGGGGGTCCCGTCGCAGGACATTCTAAAAGGCATTGCTTCGAGACACTGCAAAAGATGCGAGACGTGAGCGCAAAGGTAGTGCAGTGGGGCGAGCTTAATGTTCTAAAACAACATTTTTCTCACATTTCACTTGTCATAAACACTATACTTCTAAGACGTCAGCCGCACCGTAATCGAATAAATCCTGGCCACGATTTAGTAATATTGTATGCACAATTTAGGAAAACGAGAAAACA